CTCAAATTTTTGTTCAAAAGTTCAGGACTGGTCTGATATGACGGGATAAAAAAGCAAAATCAAATTTTAACTCGTTTGGATTTCTGGTCAACATAACTACTGTTTTTTAATTCAGCATGTTGATTATTCAAAGTAATATTTGTTTTGTATTCCAGTGGAATATTTCATTAGCTATAACATTAATTTATTTGAGTGTGGTGTGTTTGTTAAAGATACAATACTGCTGTATTAAATTAGCATCGACTATGCTCAGGATGACATGATTTAATTGTAACTCTGGGTATTTTTCATATACGTGATTTAATTCTAATTAATAATCATAATGGGTGTACAATCAATATATATTGTGAGTGTATTTTTGGCTAGGGTCATCGTTGTGTTTTGGAGTTAATAAATCTTCACTTGTACCATTCTTGGTATTCGAACTTCACGTCATGGGAACTGCAGTGGTTCCTCTTTTTTCCAAGTATGAGTAATAAGCGACGCGGACCTATCATGTTCTTTTTACAATGAATATTATGTTTATCGATTGTTATTTATTCCTCAGCAGCGTTATAACTCTGATACGTAAATCAACTAAACTCACTCAAACTACTGATTGTAGGATTTAATAGTTGCTGACCCAATGTCTAGCGATACTTCATTTAAAACAGTAGATAAACCCAAGCTATTAAGATTTGAAAGGGTTTAATCATGAATCGAATTTAAAACAACTGTCTGACTGACAACTATCATATTTATCAAATTTTTTGACTACTTTTGCACTTTACTTTGTGTTCACATTCATTGATGTTGCAACAAATAAACGACTTTATATGTTTTATAATCAACTGAAGGTTTATTTTCGAAGTCAACATTCAATAGTTGTCTAGAGTTCTCTATATTTTTAGTGGCTTTCTAATTTGTTTCTGCTTTTAAAATGAAAACTATTTTCAAAATATATGTATGTATGCCACAAAATGATGATCATAATACTATGAGAATAGTTATTATTAGCTCCGGATTTAATACTTTACAATTGATTGATTTCTGACTAGCAACCCATCTCGTGTTTGCGTTGTTTTTAGTGCTAATTGCATCCTATCAATAAAGTTACATTGTGGTCACTGGTTTAGGTAGTTAATATCGCGTTCACTCGCTTCAGATGTTAAGTAGTTTTAGGTATCTGGCATAGAGCTCTTTACCTAGGTATCAAGCTCGTTATTATTCGTTAGTAAGGCGTCACTTTAATTAAGTCACAGTAAACTTGAACTTGATTGATAGAATTCGATTAGTACCGAAGAATTAAACAAACATGGCATTATTCACTACACAAAAAATCAATCAGTCGCAAATATGTCAGTCTTACAGAAGGTCAGTTATGACCTCAATAGCTCAGTGATGACATCTCAAAACGTGAGGTCTGTTGACGCTGGTCGAAATCCCACAGGGGCATACGTTTCACAAAAATTTCAGGCACACCAAACTGATGAGTGTCAAATAGCATGAAAACTTTGTCCAGGGTTTAATATTGGTCGCCCCCAACCATCAAATAATATGTCACAATTTCAATGATACTCTGAATTATTTCACCATTTAATAATGTTTTCATAATAAAAGTTTTCACATTAGATTCGTTAAATACTTTAAGTTGTTTATACTTCAGGATGAACTATCTTCAATAAAACAATCTTTGCCTTATTTTTCTCAATATTTTTAACCTGTATGAAATATATTCAACTGATTTAAATTTATGGTAAGAAAACTGAAGTGCAATATGAGTTGTTTGTCTGGTAATACAACAACTATACAACAAAGAAATAATCACAATGTACGTACAAGTTCATGTGTTGTTGTTCAGTAAGAACAAAACCCACTCAGACTAGTTTATTGTCTATTTGAAACGTTTACACTGCATTGAAAAGTGCCTTTAGTCTCGCATGCCAACGCTCTAACCTCTAGACTATTGATGTGATATGCAATGGTGAATAAGTTCAACTTCGATCAACCCACGATATTTACCGATCATCTTCCCTTGTTTTCGGTGAGTAACTTCCTCATTGGTTATGCAACTTAAATCTATTCGCAATTCCAATAGAGTGCACCAGTCTCCAAAGCCATATACTGATAAAGACTTTTTATCGGTTCAAATGAATAATTTTTCCTTCGATATCAGCACCATGTTGTAAGCAGGTAAAATAAAATTCATTTTAAACTGATCGGCTAGTGAATAGTTTTCTTACAGAAAACTGATTGCCCCAAACTGTGCTTACTTGTACTACATTAGAAAAATCTTGCTTCAATGTGGTTATCAGGAATCATACTATACAGGTAAATTAAGAAGTCATATAGTACGTAATGAATGTGCTATACACTGATAAACATTTAGCTAATCTAATTTTACAAAATTAAGTCTTATTACAACCACAGTCTAGTCTTCATCAGGTCATCGATACTGTGCTTTATGTTAAATTCCTTTGTTTTTCAAATGTGTACATGTATAATAAAATAGGTAGACGTAGAAGTACAAGCACCTAGAAAACGTGTGATTTAATAGGTAATAAACTTTTCATTGATTAATTTTCATCTTTTGGCTACTCATTAAAACATTTTTTATTATAAATCAACATAAACTGGATGCACTGTAACAAAATCAAGGTGCAATAAACAGTTGTATTATCTTATTTTATAAGTCCTCAGAATTTTATAAAATCCATGTTGAATTACTTTGTTATATGAATGCGTATGTTCACAAAACTCACAATTCACTTTTTGCACTGCTGAGGAGTCCTATAATAGGACGAGACGGCCATCCAGTGCTTCCAGGTTTTCCGTGGTGGTTTAGCTTCAATTGACTCATGATTTCAACTATGAAAATACAACATTAGTTGATAAATTTTATAGCTCATTGAACAGACTGATTTCATTTAGATAGATAATCATAGAAAACCATGAAGTACTGGATTGCTGTTTCACCATAGTTTGCGACTTATTTGCGACATTCAAAACTCTACAAGTGTTAAATCCAGGACATTCAGGTCTCGTGACGAATGTGTAACCTTAAAACCGTTGAATGGGGATCCAATGGTTTTAATTTCTAACACCAATCAATTTGTGACAGTTAAATGAAATTCTGGTGGCGTTTCACTTGTAAGACCATATTTATTTATCACACTATATTGTGTTTTGGTTACGGTTTATGGACTTGTTACATAAATATGAAAGTAGTAAACGAAATTAAAATCTACCTTCTCCAAACAATGCAGTAAATTAGCAAAGTTAGAAGAGTACAGACAACTAAAACCTATTGCCAGATAAAATTGTCAAATAATTTCACTAGAAGATTTCATTTAGAAGTACTGATTACAACCACACATTGATTTAATGTTGTAGTGGCGGGACTATAATTTATGGACGAACCAATCAGATTTGAGATAGAAGGTTTTGGATTTTGGCGTGAAATTCATTCATCCATTTGTATAAAGAGAGATTTATCATTTTAACTGATGTTCATTCGTGATAAAAACTCTAAATCTAATTCTTAACCCTAACCATCAATTGGAAATCATAATTCTGATTCCCCACGCTGGTTTATAACTCTCATTTATTTCTAATTAGTAGGTGAACATTCTCAAGGTCACTTTAACGTCGCCCAAAGATCGTCCATAAATTATAGTCTCACCGTTTCGCAAATAATCTGAGTAACGAACACGATATAAAACAATTCCAATAACTCTATCCACATCTCTTATGAATTCAGTCCTGAACAATTAAATTAGTTATTTTCGAATTTGGTTACCTTTATTTAATTAGTCAAACCTATTGACTTGATGATAAGTCTTGCTGATTAAACGCTATACTCGGGTCCGAAGCTAGTCTCGTAACCCCCAAGCCAAAACTACACAGTGACTTGAACACGAGAAAAAAGGCGCAAAATATGCGAGAAACACTTTACTCCAAAAGTTCATTTATGTACAGAAATTATAGGGTTTTTATAGTATTTTAGAAGTCCTTGGGTTTTCTTGAAAATTCTGGAAGGCTACTCAACATAGTAGCTGTGCAGTAATCAAACAATCAGAAACTCTACATGTGACTTCACTTTTGGTGATATTTCTAGCAAAACTTCTAGTCAAACACTGATTTGATAAAGTGCTTCTTTATGTTTCCTGAGCTTGTCATGTCTATTGCGAGAAATTTTCAGGATCGCTACAACACTTGAGCAAACAAATTAGGACGGTACTCATTTTGTTCAAAATAATGTATACACTTTTTTTCTATGACAATTATCGTGTCACCCTTATTATTTCGTCATTGCATTTTCCAAGTTGTCCTATTTTCATTTATACATGTTAAAACAAGAATGAATATATATATATATATATATATATATATATATATATATATATATATACTTAGTATTGTTTGTTTGAATCTTCCAATTGATGTTTAGTACTGCAACTGGTCAGTTTCTAATTGGCATATATGCATACTGTGCATATTGGCTCGATAAAGCCTTAATTCACAAGCATTATAAGCAAAGATGGATAGTGGCTAGCAGTGAATTAAGGCTATATCGAGCCAATACGCACAGTATGCACATATGCCAATTAGAGACTGACCAGCTGCAGCCCTAAACATCAATGAGAAGATTCAAACAAACAGTACTAAGCGAATTTGAACTTCATCCCATTGCACAAGCAGATGGCTACCAGGACTCAGTAGCTGAGTGGGTAACGCGATGGCGTTTGAAGTGAAAGGTACTGGGTACAAGTCCCAAATAGGACGAAACTGGCGTTCTGGATTCCACTGCTACTCACTATCCATCTTTGCTTACAATATTCTGACACCAGCTTATAATGAGAATTATTTTCGAAATCCTCACCAAACTATTTGTTTTTTGCTCATTGAGTGTTTTTCTGTTTGAATTACTCTACCTAATATAATGTAATAGTTTAACTATCCTCTCATTCAAATTGTAAAGTTCTCAATAACAATAATATTATTCTTATCATTGTTATTAGGCGGGTATTGGTAAAAGCTCAATTAATAATCGATCAGTATCTGAAGTCTGTTCTTTATCAGATTCACCACTGCCAATTAATTATGATCCGATCAACACGAATACATCATCTGTTTTTCCAATTTCATCAAATTGTTCTTCCAATAGACAAAAGTTAAAGGACTCATCATCACATGTTGAATGGTAATAATTGTGTGGTATTATTGTTCATTATAATGCATTATTCTTTTCATCTAATAAGTTTTAATAAATAAATATTTGTTAAAATGATAGCTTTTTGTATTCAATTGTAATAGAAATTGGTCCCGTGAATAATTATTTAGTTCTCTTTTATTAATAACTGGTCACATTTTTATTCACATGATATAGATGAGTAGGAAAATAGGTGATTGAATAAAAATTTAAGCTACCTGGTTATAAAGTATTAAATTGGTAATCTCAATAAGATATTTGAAATACATCTCAGGATCAGGATAGTTTGTCAACTTAGAATCATGCTTGACTAATGATTGAGAAGACGACTGGGGACAATGGAATACAACGAAGCACAAAATTACAGAACATCTCAATAAAATCTGACAACCATACAGTAAACCATTGATTTGCAAACTACTAATCAGTTGTTTCAATCTTGATTGTTCCTTCTTCAAATATTAGTCCATCGTCTCCGATTATTATTATTCATGCATTTTCGTACCAATTGCATTATGTTTCTGTTGTTTCGTTATCGATCTTCTACTGAAATACACTCTATGTCTGACCATCATCATTTACTACTTATATGGATATAAGTAAACCACACCACAACACGTCTTCAATTCAAAGTCAATCTTGGAATTTAAATCGATAAAATTATTGTGTTTTGTTAATACTGTTCATAGTGGTGATAGGGTCTAATCTTAGTAACCTTCTAAGTCCTTAAGTAAGTGGTAATCATTTACATAGATTTTAATTAGTTCACGATAGCTATTTCTTAAATGGTATGATTCATATATCAAGTTTTTACTTGTTCACTGAAGATTATTTGAACATGATAATATTTACAAATTTAACCTGGATTTCAAACATTACATTCTTTTTAAGTATGTTTGATATTTCGTTTTTTCCTTCCTTGTATGTATTTATCACAGGGTCGATGATCAATGTACATTGTTGTACATAGTCTTTTTAAACAAATAGAGTAACTAGTGTTTGTGTATTAGATTTAAAGTTAAATGTAATGTGTTAGTGCTTAGGATATTGCTTTTGTAGTTGGACTCATGATTTGACTGTTGAAAGTCGAATAACAAGACGCTTGAGTTCAGTTACGAATATGAAAGTTTGTTATGTCGGCCTATCTACTCGGATTGTATCCAGCTTCAGTTATATTTTTATAGTCATACAGTAACATTTGGCTTCATTAATCAAGAAATTACTTTAGTGAATATTCTTTACTTAAATGCATGTGAATATGTTGAAACTTCAAACTAGTTATTATTTGAAGATATTGTGTTTAACTGTATTCGTTACTATTATCAACCTTTTTCTTAGTCTCTCAGAGATTACTTCCGTCATTAGATACGCTATAATTAACCTGAGTTACTTGGTGAACATAATCCTGTTAGATCAAAATGCTGATCAAATTCAAAATTTTCGGGACATTTTACCCATACATCGTTACGTTAAAAATGCTGATAGAGGATGAAGACGATCTGAGAACTGTCACAGTCTAAGAATGATATATTAGCCACTGTTAAACTATACAAACTCAGTTTACTATAAATAAGCAAAAAAACAGACTTGGATATTTATTGGTTTGAGGTGATATCTAAGCTTTTTAAAAGATTACGTTTCACATATCCGTTATGAATATTTCTATTAATAGATTGAGTTAATTGTAACAATTGAACTTTAGTGTACCTATTGACAGCAATAAAGAGTGTATTTTATCTGACAATAGATCGAGATACTAAACAAAGTCATATTCCTTAAATCATGTACTATGACAATAAAACTATAATGGTGATTTTATTAGTCCTACCAAAGAGAAAAATGTATCAATATTTTCATCTATACCTGAAGCCAGTCTAATTAAGATATTTCTCATTAGAACAACTGTCTAACTTTCTATATCTCTGATAAATTATCTCAGAGTAACCATTCATTAACTTTTCTTGATGATTTCAACTGATTGACTGTACATGGAAGGAATTATGAGGACCACTCAGTCTGAATTCAGTGGTTGATAACTTCATGATTCTCCACAAATCCCTTACACAAATGATAACCACATGCTAATTAGTAACCAATTTCCAGGGGTAACTTCCACAGTTCTAGTTAGAAGTGGTAACTAGTGAAGTATAAATATGTCGTGTGTGAAAAAGTTACCTAGAAATGGCCGTTACAAGACCAGTTATTTCAGGAATTAACTAAAGCTATAAATGTTAATTGACGTTTGCCAACTTAGTAGCCTTAATAATATAAATTGATGCGGTAGCATGCAAACACAATACCATAATGTTATCTCTTAGTAATGTTTCAAATACCATTATAATCCCTCCATGTCTTTTTCTTCTAAAAGCAGTTTTACATTTATTAATATTGCAGCTTTTTCGATGAACAAGTGAACGTGGAGAATGGGGATACTAGTTCACAAGATATTCACAGTCAAAAATTGTTATTAAAAAATAATCATCCCCAGCAACAACATCAGCCCCAAATATCCAAGGTCAGCATATTCAAATCATCTCATATCAATTCAGCCAACAGAATCAATCGAAATGAATCAGGGAATAAATTAGCTCTGAAATTCACCAAATCATCTAATAGTACTATACAACCATTACCATCTAAACCCTTAGTAAAACATGAAAATTAACCGATGGAATTTTTGTTTTTGTATGGTTATTATTTTATATGCAGATGTAAATGTGTGTATGTGTTGTTTATGTATATTTGAGGATTGATAATTATGCATTGAATGATCTTTGTTTTCTTTCTCTCTCTCGCTCGCTCTCACTTCCACAATCACACACAAGTACTCTGTTTTTGTATCTAACTCGTTATGTGAAATAATAGTAATTGTTCGCTTTTTATGTAATCCTAAATCATTTGTTATTCTTGTTGGTGGTTTTTTCAAGGTTTGGTGTAAGTTGCGTTTATTACTAATTTAAAACAACTAAAAATAGTGTCCTTGTTAGTAATTTGATTTTATGAATTACCTTGGAAATTTTATTAAGTGTTTTTTATATTGATGAATTTTATGATTTAGATGGTTTAATTATAGAGTTTCATTGTCTTTCTTAACAACACCATCGACTTTATGGAAAGTCCAATCAAGTACACGGTCATAGGTCACTGAAACAAGACAGTTAACTTGAAAATAAAAAGGATAAATGAGGGCAACAAGACCGATAAAGGAAAGTAGTCATAACAAATAAGACCGTCAAAATCAATTGATTTTAAATCAGTGGGAACTTATTTCTATATGTTGCTAATATTGTTGTCCAGAACAACAGTGAAAGCTCCATAATTAAACCACCTAACTTAGAGACCATCTACAGAGATTCATTCGTCATTTTGGTTATCCTTGGGGCTCCGCACCTCTTGGCAAGTTGGAGTCAGTGCCTTTTTAGTTCCCTTCTGTTGTGACTTTTTCCCTGTTAATTACCACGTGATAGGATCGCCAATCAGAACACCGACATATACGACTTGGCCCTGTCCCAAACCAAATGACGCGTTAGCCAACACGAGCAGCCTAAAATCAACTCTGAGTCCTTATTTCTTCTTCTCTCATAGCCCTACCTGTTGAGTCCAGAACACAACCTCAGCTTCCACTGTATGACTCATGTATATATATCAGATATTCGTAGTTAATATACAGGTAGACCAGCCCATATCACACTATAAAATAGAAAATATTATTGATACAAGATCAAGCTGAAAGTGGCTGTATGAGAGACTGTAACTAATAGATTGGTAAGAGCTTAAGAATAATAAATTGTATAATAGTAGTCAGTAGGTCAAATGAAAGAAATAAGAGAAATACAAATATATATAACCTAGTTACATCATAGTTACACAATAAGAAAACATGTATAATAACGGTCTATAAATTGTTCCTAACAGTTGTCATTAATTTATTCTTCGTTAGGATGCAACACCTTCCATTTGTTTTCTGTAATAATTAATCCTAATAGAGCTTGTAAAGCTTGAAATTTGTTGCTGAAAGTTATCTTGAACTCGTTTCGGTTGTTAACACCTCCAAAGATGGCTATATTAAACTTTCATGGTGCTGCTTGTACAACTATTCAGTGCTTCTTTAGCTTCATTTTTACCTTGTCCATCAAAAGTGATGATCTAAGGATGTATCAGATCCTGTCTTTATTCTTATGTCTCCTATGAACTTTCTGAGCTTTTAAACCATGTATGTGTTATCTATGTGGTTTTCTATAGCGTGACCCAGTGAAGCATATTGTAGCCTTGTGTATTCTTTCATGTGGGAAAATGGTACCACCTATAACTATGTTGTTGACAGTACGTAGATTCACCAGTCTTACCACTATCGATTTTGTCTCCCGATCTATGTCGCTCCACGACGTCTTCATTCTTGGTGTCCTTTATCTCGAACATTACCTTGAGGATGATCAGATTTCTTTCAGGGTATTTCTGTGTAATGGACTGAAACATCTCATAAAACTGATCTTTGCCACCTTAGTTGTAACCATTGGTGTGCGCATAGTACTGGATAACATTGATTGCACACCCTCCTTTTTTTACGTTGAAGAATGCTCTGATGATCCCGGAGCCATAAGATTACTATCCTGTGGGTGATTTTCTTCATGTTTTTGGCACCATCGGTGGAACTCCTTGTATGTGTGGGCTAGTTTCTTTGTGACGAGAATAAAATAACAGTCAATCTTTTTATCCAGATCGTCTTCAATATGTTTCATCTATTCTAAGCATGGGCGGGTTGTGTCTTTTCATTTCTACTACTATTTGAATGGTTCTTTGAGTTTCCTTCATTGTCCAGCCATTATACGTATCTATATTAGTTGTCGCTCTGGTTTTCAGAATGAGAAGCGGTTTCATGGCCTCCAAAGAATCCTTGTAGCATCGTTTGTCATGTTAAGCCCATATACTTCATTCTAGTTACTGGCCAAGCCAATTCACCTATACATTATGAGTCATATTTTGATCTTGTCAATTATTCGCTTATTAACCTTGACTATATTTTTATATGAGCGTATATGTGTGCACACTTCGTATCTTATCCACCATATGTCTGTCATTCATTTCTGTATGACTATAAATATTGAGTAATGCTTGCTGATAGCGAGTTGGCTTCCCCGCCATCTCCAATATGCATTATTTTGCTTTGCTCTCGAGTTGGCTTCCCAGCAATCTCCAATGCATGTCGTTTATGCTTCTCTCGCTAACATGCTCATGTACTCACAGCTTTCTGTTCTGCATCATTTATCAATATAAATGTAGTTGCCGCTTCCTTTTGCCTTCTGATTCTATAGACCGTTAAGATTCGTATAATAACGGTTATCGAAGTGAACTATTAATGAAGCACGGCACTACATCCTATCTTTCATCATTACTGTTCCATATGAAGACCTTTGAACTCACATGACAGAGCTTCATTAAATTAATTGATTTAATCTAGCTAAAGCTCTTTGCAGAGAGGTCCTTTTCTACGAGGTTGCATTGCTTACTCTACACGCAACCCTGTTACTTCACCCAAACTTGGGGCTGGCAGTAACCCTACATCAACTCCAGATGTAGTTAGTGTTTTAAAATACATGAAATAAATTTGAAATTTTCTCTTATTATGTATTTGGTCTATTAGTTGATAAACTGAATTAATATCCTTCAATTCATGAATAACACGGTATAGTCTAATCCATTTTGTATGCTTTTAGTTTTTACAAAAAAAACATGAAGTGACCTGAAAAATGTTAAATTTGTTTATCATTGACTTAGATAATCTAATAGGTCAATGATATATGTTAGGTTATATTATGAAGAATCGATATTCACTCTTTCATCAGTTTCACAATTCATGATTGAATTACCAACAACTAGAAAGAGCTAATCAGATTACATTTACTGTACATAATATAAGTCTTGTATTGTAATAAATTTATGAGTGATATTATTTCAAATTATTTACTTAATTGAATTTTTATTTATTCATAATATCAGAAGGGGTTTAGTGGATATTATAGTAATTTTAATAGTTGAGATCATGAATCAATTGAAGCTAGACCATCATGGAAAACCTGGAAGCAGTAGACGGCCGTCTCATCCTGTTGTGGGACTCCTCAGTAGTGCGTATCCCGCCTAGCGAGATCCGAACCTAAGACCTATCAGCTTCGCGCTCGAACGCTTAACCACTAGACCACTGAGCTAGCCGACATCCAACGGTGTTAATGTCTAACTTCAACGAATCCACGAAATTGAATGACACATCCACCAATGTTTTCAGTGACTTACTTTCTCACAACAGACCTGGTTGAACTGATAGGTCCTGGGTTCGAATCTCGCTAGGCGGGATCGTGAATGTGCGCTACTGAGGGGTCCCATAATAGGATGAAACGGCCGCCCAGTGCTTCCAAGTTTTTCATAGTGGTCTAGCTTCAATTGATTCATGATCTCAACCATTAAAATTATTCATAATAGTTGAATGGTTGTAGGGTTTATATTTATCACCGATTTCTATTCTAATATTGTGAACATTCATATATTTTCTGCATTATATAATAGTTAACCACTTAAATAAATGACATTTCCTTATGTATGTACAGCCATAACTTAGTGGTCAAGGCGTCAGTAAGGTTACAGCCATTTAGTCACAGTTTTGAATCCCTCTTTTCTGACTTCAATATGGGCAAACAGTTTGTATCATTAGTCCTGATACTTAGAGTGTGGTCTCATACTCAAGTAACTGGTGTGTGATTAAAATTATTTATTCCTATATTTATGTTGAATTGAAGAAAATAATAGTTCAAATGACATATAATTTCAAGTGATATGAAAAACTAGACGTTTTATGTGATTGATCATTTGAGAAAAGAATATTTCTGTTGTCTAAATAAGCAACAAACAAAGGTTGATTTATTCACTTGTTGTTGTTTACTTGTATTTTCCCATTGTTATTTTGGTCTGCAATTGATCAGTCTCTTGTTCATATATGTGCATTCTATGAGGACTACCTCAATATTGCCTGAAGTCACAAACTTTATAAGTAAATAACAACAACTTCACCCCATTGCACAAGAAACTGGCTATCGTGACTCAGTAGCTAAGTTGCTGACGTGAAGGCACTTCAAGCGAACGGTGCTGGGTTCGAGTCCCAGAGTGAACATCAACTATGAGGTGCAGTTACATCCGGCTGACGAGTCCCGAACGAGGAGAAGCACGCGTCCTGGATTCTACTGCTAGCCACTATTCATCTTAGCTTATAAAGCTTCTGATTTCAAGTAATATCGATGCAGCCCGCACAGGATGCACATATGCCAACAGGAGACTGATCAATTTCAGTCCTAAATAACAATGGGAATATACAAGCAAACAACTACAAGTGAATATAACTTCGCCCCATTGCACAAGCAGGTGGCTATCAGGATTCAGTAGCTAAGTGGATGAAGCGAAAGGTACTGGGTTCGATTCCCAGAATGAACATCAGCCATGAGGTGCAGTCACACCCGGCTGATGAGTCCCAAATAGGATAAAAAGGTTGGTTTATTTGATTCATTAAACATTCGATTTATACAAAAGCTTTATTTATCTACAAAGCTTTACGAAAGAATCAATTAGGATATAATAGCTGTATTCATGTGGTTTTTATCTGGTGAAAATCATACTAAATAATTAGGAATGAATGATGTGATTAAAGTCTATGCAATAGTGTTAAAGTTGGTATAATTTTGATACACACTACTGATAAGTATGATTGATTTGTAACTAAACCTACCAATCAGTGTCATTCAATAGTAAGATCAATGTTATTAAAACACTAAATATTGAGTTGAATTGTACAAACTGTAAGTGGATTGTTGTCTTAGTATTTGATCAACTAGATAATGAAATGTTCAAAAGTACAATATGATTCATCACTATGTACATATATAGATATTCAGTGTTCTAATAATATCGACCTAACAACCAAATGATACTAATTAGTAGGCTTAGTTGTTATTCAATTATATTTATCAGTAGTGTATGCCAAAATATTGAAGTATGTAAAAGACAGTACCTTATTTATAAAACTAGTGGTCAATATAAATGTACAAATATCTAAATATCTAGACAATGTAAATATGAACACACTAAACTATAATACAAAGATCATTTCAATATTGAAGTTGGAGTGCCACTGATTTTTATTTCAGATTATGAAATTATTAATCATTATAATAAACATACTATGATAATATTACTGTTTTCATTTGTTTTATTTTAGAAAAAAGGCTTTACATAGTAACTATTATAATGTAATCAGT